TTAAAATTGCAGTATCTGTTTCCCTGCACCTTTTATAGAAGTACAACAACATTTATAGCACATAAAAGTAATGTACGTTACCCCAAGCTGGAAATGTTATTCAACACAGAGTTCCCCTTTTAAAGTTAAATAGAGTTAGTTATTCTCAGATAATCTTAAATTATTCTCAATCAAGTCAAGTAAGGTAAGTATCCCCATGTTGAGCTCAGTCTAGGCTGGCATTTCAATGCAGTGCTGGGAGAGCATGTTAATCAGTATTATTAAATGTATAGATAATTAATTTAAGGTCTTGATATACACCTATACTGCAGTGTGCATGGACAAAAGATATTATACTTTATTTAAAAGATCTTTAATAATCCTTACATTTGATATAGAGCCTTTAACATTGGGAAGACATTTCCAAATGATTCACAGGATATACTGTGAAGTGAAGTGACTGTCTATATTGTGGCTGAACGAGCTAAAAGAGCATTGAAGGAAAGATCTAAAACTTGTATACAAGATTCAATATTGCTGTTTGAGACAGTCAAACTGCCCTTGAATTCCATCCTAAATACTCTCTGCAACCCGGACTGTTTAAAAAAAGTTTAAACTAAAAGAAAACAAAAAATATTTCAGACACTGCAAATAATTTCCTATGTACTGAAATTTTTTAATATATATATTTAAAAAGGAAAGTACATGTTTAATTCCATGTGCTAACAACATTAAAACTTTAACACTAACTTCTCAATGTTCAAATTCCCAGTAAAAAAAAAGTTCACATTTTTATTTGATCTTAAGTACTGTATGGAAAAAGTTTAGTAGCTAGCAAGAGAATAACAAGTAAAAAATTGATAAAAATGTTCCTGCAGCGAGCCATGCACTCATACTGCAGCTTCCAGATGTTCCAACATTTTTGACATCAGTATGGAAAAATTTACTGTTAGTCTAGAGAAATTTAATATCACCATTCTTGTCATATCCCTCATAGCTATTAGGTAAGGTCTGTGTAAGTTATAAAGCAGGGCTTATGATAAAAAAAAGTGGTCTCTGCCTTTGCTCATTGTTGAAACTTTAGACGTTACCATATGGTTCAAAACGAGAGAATCCGTGTGGACAGGCATCAGGCAATGTTAGCTCTTTGATGGAATGAACCTGAATTCGACTTGAAAATGATTTTCATTCGCAGTACAGAAAGCAGAATCTGAACAGTAGCACGAGTTTACTGAGAGATCAAGGAAACAAGGGCAGAAGACTCCCAACACCTAAACACAGATTACCAATATTAACACTATGTACATATATATATACACACACACACATATTTACATAAAACTCACTATCGGAATAACACTATAACATTTTATAGCCTTAATAAAAACAGGAACGCAGCAAGCTCTAAATTTTCAGCCTGTCAGGTTAAAGCAATTCACAGTGGTCTCCAAGTATGCTATGCCATTCTAACAGCAGTTACTATATAAATTCAAACATGCTACTTTTTAAAAAAAAACATTTTAAAGGGAAGTAGGGAACTGGCAACAAATGCCTGTATCAGGCAAAATTATGTGCAAGTATTGTTTCTGAACATACCAGAAACAGCTTTGCTTTCTTTTTTATATAAATGCTGTAAAGGGTCATAAACAACAAAACTTGCAGCTAATAAAGAGCAGCTGACCCTCGGTGGATTGAGCTGCACTGTCTTTTGACAAACAGCGCTATCAACATTTGTCATCACTGTGACCAGGCTCCATTTTTCATGGTTGTTACTTCAAAGTAGCTAACAAAGGGAATTTGTTAACTTAAATCTTTTCAACATAGCAGCAGCCTTTCAAGACATTCGGGTGAACTTAAATGTAAAGCTGAGAGAACTGGTAGCCAATTGGGAGACATTTAATTCAATGTAAATGAGCCATCGACTTGTAATAAAAAAACACGATGACTGAAGATCGTCTCATTGTACAGTACGCTTCGGTCTTTGGACTCCAACCACAAAATATACAATCTAAATATATAGTCGATTCACTTTACAATATATTCTGTGAAGCGCTTTGTGACGTCTCAAAGACATGATAAGGCGCTATATCAAATGCAAGGATTATTATTATTACAAGCGCTTTGGGACGTCTTCCCGACGTGAAAGGCACTATACAAATGCAATTTTGTATTGTACTGTACCTTCATGGTGGCACGAATGCTAAGAGTTCGGAAGTTAATGTAGGTTCTGTGAATTAATTTCTAAGTAGGAAAAATGGAAGTGTGAAATAAGCTCCCAGTAGATTGCAGTCTACACTGATCCCAACTTTTGCCCAAATCTAGTTCATTTGGAGTCCTGTAGCTTAGTGATTCAGGCATTTGCCTCGCAGGCGAGGGGATCTGGGTTTGATTCCCGGGCAGGGCGAAACCTTAGTTTCATTACTCCGCATGCCTTTGTTTACCTAGCAGTAAGTAGGAACCCGGATGTTAGTCGATTGATGGATTGCTTTTCCCGGGGCAATAATCTTTTCAAAAACAAATCCCCCCCAAAAATGTGGTCACTCATTCCACGACTTTTTGTGGAACACTGCTGTGCACAATTGGCTGCCGTATTTTGCCCACAAAATACAGTCAATTCACTTGACAGTATAATTGTGAAGCGCTTTGAGAGGGCTCGAAGACATGATTAGGGACTATGTTAAATGCAAGGATTATTATAATTATTATTTACCACTCACATTGTTAGCCCATGCTAATGAGTGAGATCGGGAAGCTGCAAAGGCCACATACTAGTCATAGAACAAATGTGAACATGGCTCAAACAGTTCAGATTATTACTAAATGTTATTCGCATGTGTTATAAATATTGAAATGCAATACTTCACAAACACTTCATACACAGAATTCTTACATCAATATCAAGTGGCACAAAGGCCTGCTACCTCCCAGCAGTAGTGCAACAGTCAATTCATCTTCTGAAACTTCAAGCTAAATCGTTCGGTTTTCTAGTTTCTTAAACAAACTTTTTCTTTTGGAAAAGCACTTTCTATGCATGGTGAGGTCAGCGAGTGGCAGCACAAACCACGTGTGTGATATCAGTCACATTAGCAAAATGAACCAAATGAAACGGGGGTTTAAGTTACACTAACAAGTGCTTCCACTGATTAATTTTATGCTCAGCAGCAACAATCCTCACAGGATTTCAGCCCCAGGACTCTGCATACTGTCTAGCAACATTAGCCAAGGTAATGACAATTATTTGTGAGTAGTTTCTGAGTCTGAAAAGGGTATTAACTACCAGGGTACTGAAGGTAAATTAAAATTGTAAAGAGCTAGGCTGGCTTGCTATTCCAGACATGCTAGCTCCTTGTTTCAGCAATATAACTAGGGCCAGGGGATATACTTTTATCAAGAAGCACGCTCCGACTTTCAGTTTGATTAACTGTAAAACAAATGTGACTGCGACTCAGACAGTTCAGATTATTACTAGATCCTATTACTAACATTAATTTTAATGTGAAACGGTCAACCTCCACTGAAGTGGCTTTAGAAAGGCTGAGAACACAGCCTTTAAACACAATTTATGGACACGTTTCCGGAATAGTTAATTCCACTTTGGAAACCGACAGTGGGAGGAGAAAGTCCAGGTGGGTAGTGTGTGTGGTGTGGGGGCAAAGGATTTTAAAGTTAGAAGGTGTAGTGCCTTTTACATCGGGGGAAATGTCTCAAAGTGCTTCACAGGATTTTATTGGTAAGTGCTATCACAGTGTATTTTGAAGGTAAACAGGCAGCAAATTTGACAGCAATGACCAACAATAAAACTATATTTATATAACAACTTTCACATTGAGAGGACTTCTCAAAGCTCTTCAGAGGCAGAAGAATTGCAGGAAGTCGCAGAGTTAAGAGTAGGGCAAGGCGATGGCGAGAATTAAACATGAGGATACAAGGATCTTGAATTCGATCCACTGGGGGTGAGCAGAGCCACAAGAGGTGGATGATAGGCTCATGGAGCCCGGTGCAGAAGAGTGAACTAGCTGCAGTCCTAGATGGCAATGGACCAATTTTATCTGAGGGATTATTGGCCAGGGCTGGAGGAGAAACTACCCACTTTTTTCAACTGGTGACAAGGCATCTTGAACATTCACCTGAAACGGCAGATAGGACCTCAGTTTAAGGTCTCAGCCAAGCCAAAGCACTCCCAACAATGCAGCACTCTCTCAGCACTGCAGTGGAGCATCAGCCTAATTTATGCGTTCCAAGTCCTGACGAGGGACTTGACACAACCTTCTGACTCAGAAGTGAGGATGCTACCAACTGAACCAGGCTGGCACCTCTTCACTTCTTCACATAGCTTTATTGGTAAAGGGGGTAGGAGAGGAAATGGAACATTTGGGCTGAGGTGGAAAAATGCACACTGCAGTGCCCAGGGTATTCTTCTGTTTATAGGTGAGCGCATTTCACATCTGTTTAAAATGAACCTTGATCACAAAAACATCTCACACAAACTGAAAGAATTGAACATTGAACTGATTTTTCTAAACAAAAAGCAAAGAACCCACAAAGGAAACCACTAAGTGCATCACATCACTTCCTCTGCAGTGGGAGCAGCTCCCTGCAGTTTATATACTACGCTCACAGCCCAATATAATCAGGTACAGACACCTACAAGAAAGGTCTGTTAAACACATGTCAAAGTTCCATCCTAAAAAAACATATCCCAGTGTGTTTACTGTACATTGGTAATCCCTTGAAATCCAAGTAGCAAATCCTTTCTCGCAGCCTCCTCTCAGATCATGCAAGATAAAACTTTAAGTCATTGTGGTAAGTAATAATACTTGCATTTGATACAGTACCTTTCACAAAATTTAACGTAACGTGTGGCAACTGTATTTTGTAAGCGAATGTGGCAGCCAATTTGCAATTTCCAATAAACCGCCATTTATTCATGTATCTGGGGGATTGTTGGCCAGGATACCGGGAGAAACTCCCTCACAACACAAAAATATGAACAATCAAGAACACCAGCAGAGTGACTTTACCTGCATCATTCGCAGAACCTGTTGATAATGCCGGCATGATTTCCGCTTCCAAATGTCACACAGGAACCTCAAATTCGCACTCCGCAGCCAGAAAATCTCCAACCGGATCAGTTGACGTTCTGTTCTTTGGTCAAGCCCTTCCTTTGCCAACTTGCCCTTGAAGATTTACGCCATCCGCAGCTATGCCCTAGACGGAACCACATGAAAGGAAAGAAGAACAGAACTGTCATAATATTTTTAAAAAGCAAACGACAACAACAACTTGCTCCTCACTCAGGGTAGATTCCAGAGTGCTTGGAGCAAAATATCCGGGGGCGAAATTCTTCCTGCCGCATTGTGCAGCACTTTCAATGCCTGTTTAGAATGGGGATGGGAATGGATCGGTGGGAAAGGCAGCAGGATGCGAGCTGGGATTTGAGTATTTTAATGTCAAACAGAGAGGCATGTTTCCTATATCTCACACTCAAAACACCGGTATGCTTCTCTTGCAGTGCTCAAACGGACCACTAGGCGGAGCATAACAAGAAAAGTGAAGTGCCTTCACCTGGCGAGGTGAAGAGAGAATTAACCTCAAGCTATTTGCTCTGTGGAAAGCGCACCATTTGGCAGCAGGTCACTGACTGCGGTTGTAAACATGTCTATTGCCCAGAGGCGAAAAACACACTAGAAGATAAATTAATAGGAAACAGAAAATTTAAAAAAAGGCTAAAAATACACAAATGGTAAATATGAGCGAGAAATGAAAACAAACCATGGTATTTATGCACCAACAAGTTTTCCAGGCAGTCCAAAACAGCTTTCCCAACTTGCTGGGACTTCAAATGAATACATTTATAATTAATACCGCAATGCTAGGTTGTGGTTAACACAGGGTCCTTCAAGTCAAGATCTGTTTTCAAATGCATTTTACACACCTGGCAAACGTCCACTGAATGCCAACAAATGCTGTTTCCCAGCACAAATAAATACCTCTGGTTAAACCAACAACAGCCTCAAGTACTAATTCTGATGTTAAAAAAAAGTGAACCCCTCTTAAAAAGTAGTGGGAGGGGGGTGCATGGATCCCAACCAGCACTTATAAGGGGTACAATCTGGTTTCCCGTAAACTGTGCACGTGCTCAAAAAGAGAGCCGGCACTATCGATGCTTCAAATGCTGGCCAGCACATGTGCCGGCTCAGGAACACCTGACACCTGGACATTTTGGATTAAATCTTCTGGTGCACAATTTGGATTTTTCAGGATAACGAAATGTTAGGGTCCATGATCAAAGTGGATCTGAATTAGAATGAAGCACAATACATACAACACGCTTCTAGGAGTTTATTGCAAGGAAAAAGTCATTTTGCAACACAAAGGAAACATTCATTCTAAAGGCACAATTTAATAAAGTCATAAAATTACAGTAATGTTACAAGGCAACACGATAGTCGCATGTGGAAAACAAATGGAAACCTAGCATGGCACAAAAGGCCTGGGGTATTTGGCAATAGACATGCCGGCACTTTATGAGGACAATCAATCATGTTTGTAATTGAGGTATTCAAACCTTACATGTTCTCCAATATCATTAACCAAAGGGAAATCTGCCTGCAGCTGTTCCCATACACCAAATCATTAAGTGCTACGTAATCAACTCTGTGAGCTCATTCATGATTTTACGAAGATGGAAAAAGGCGCAGCTAAGCAAATCTGCTTGCTGGGAAGGTTCTGAACAATAATAATTCTTGCATCTGTTTTGCACCTTTCACGTCAGGAGGACATTTCAAGGCCCTCACAGAATTTTACTGTAAAGCGTAGTGAAAGTACTATCAACTGATCCTAACCATCCCACTTTGTAGCAGGGAATGAAATACGTCTCCCCGAACACTCTGATCCCAATTCATTCAAGATTGCTCTTCAGCCTATTTCATCATATTCAACCTGCCTTCATCATGCAGAAGCTGTTTGAGTCACTGTATTGGTTTCATCTTCTCTTCCTCAATACTCATAGCAGCTTTTGATAATCCTCCCTACTTATCTATGTGCAAACCTAGCCCCACACAATCCTGAAGCTGTGAGTTCTAGCCCTGCTGCATTGCTGTATCTGAGAGTATTCTATTGGTTCAACTTTTTCAAGCTTCATTTAGAATTCAATAATAATCTTTACATTTGATGCACACTCCACCTTGCTAAGCCAGTCCAGAACCTTGGCGTCTCGTTTGACCCTCAACTATCCTTTCTACCCTACATCTGTGCCATGACCCACTCTACCTTCACCCACCTCGGCAACATCGCCCGGCTCCGCCACTGTCTCACACCGCAGGCTGCCAAAACCCTCATATATCAATTCATAACATCGAGGCTTGACTATGCAAACTCCTTGCTTGTCGGCCTCCTTAACTATCCCTCCAAAGGCTGCAGATCATCCAGAACTCGGCAGCCCGTGTCCTCTCCCACACCAGGCTCCGTGACCCTATCACCCCCATTCTCGCCCGACTCCACTGGCTTCCCATCACTCAGAGGATACAGTTCAAGATCCTGGTCCTCACCTTCAAAGCTTTCCATGGTCTTAGTCCCCCCTACCTCTGCAAACCTCCTAACCCTCTACCATCCTGCCTGCTTCCTCCACTCAGCGGGCTCAGGCCTGCATCACTTATAAAGGGTACATCACGTCCACCGCCTCACCCCCCCCACCATTGGTCTTCTGCCACTCTGCCCCTACCCTCTGGAACTCCATCCTGCAGTCCCTCCACCATGTGCCCTCCTTTGCCTCCTTTGAAGACCCATTTCAAGACCCTCCTCTTCGCCCGTGCTTTCGATCACCCTGCTTCCCCCCTGCCCCCACCCTCCCCAATCCCGACCCCCAGCTCGGGTCCAAAACACTGATTATCCAGCTCCTTGGAATGTCCTCCCGACGTGAAAGGCGCTTTACAAATGTAATTTTTTTGTTGTTGATATAGTGCCATATCACATGGTCAGGTCATGTCAAAGCGTTCACAGGATTTACTGTGTATTGACTGGTGTATTTGTAGGCTCACATGACAGCTAATTTCTGCCTGCCCACAAACAGCCATGAAGTGGATGACCAATTTTACCCAGGGATTAAAATCCATTTGTTTTTTTTATTGATTTACAATCATTCAGATTTGCTAGATACCGTAGCAAATCTTCGGGTAGAGAAAGCTAACGGGGCTTGCCTTGAGCCCCAGGTTCAGGATTCTTGGTTTAACTCAAGATAATAATAATAATAATATTCCTTGCATTTTTGATACAGCGCTTTTCACGTCGGGAGGACGTCCCAAAGCACTTCACAGAATATACTGTAAAGTGAATTGACTGTATATTTGTGGGCGAACGCGGCAGCCAATTGCGTACAGCAATGTCCCACAAACAGTCGTAGATTGAAAATGACCAATTTATTATTGTTTTGGGTTTTTGGAGGGAATATTATTAGGCGTGTGGAGTAAGGAAACTTGCCCAAGGTTTCGCCCGGCCTGGAATTGAACTCAGGTCTCTTGCTTGTGAAGCGAGTGGTCTAACCACTGAGCTACAGGACTCCACTCTCTGTCCTCTCTGAGAAATCGATTTATGAGGCTGAAGAGCTTATCGAATTGTTCTTCATAGCTCATCCCTCTAATGTCGAGGAAAAGACCCATTGCTCTCCTCTCACTAACTCCAGGTCAATCTCCAATCAGGCTGACCCATAAAAACATGGTTTATGACTGTAAACTCATACCATGTCCAGGCAAATGTTTTTTTAAAACACTGTCACTGATGAGTACTGAGTTGTCAGGTGATTGCTGACCTCACTTCCAATAAGCTGCATATTCGCCCTCTCATTCGTGACTGCATTATAAGTGGACTAACGATACAGCGGTCTCAATGTTGTCTCTATATTGTGGTGGTGCCGAGTATCTATCGAGTTCTCTAACTGCAGTATTTCAAAAGGACAAAATCTAAAGCAACCGGTGTGAATAACCTGAAACACTGACGATTCCCAGCTGTTCTCCACAGAGCTCTGAACCAGGTTGATCACTGAGACAGCACTTCCTGGCACCAAATAACTGATATGAATCATAGGCATGTGAAAGTTAATGAACCATACCGAGGGAGATCTCCAGCACATGGCTCTATTGCCCTTTTGGATCCAATACCATTTTACGATTTTCTTAATGCCGGCCCCAAAACAGTAGTACAGCAAAAGCAGTGGGCCGCTGAACTACTCAAATTACTTTTGGCTGCTCAAATGACGTAATAACTTTTTACGTTTAGCCCTTACACTCACTGGGTATTGCTGCAGTTTATGCTGCTCCTGCACTTCCATTCCTTTTTTTTACTGAAAAGTCAGAGCATAGTGATATAGCAAAGTCAGCAGGACATGCAGTCAAAATGTGCATTCATGAGTTTCATCATCACTCTGCAAGGGTTCATCCGGTTCCAGAGCCAAGCTGGTCCACACTGGTGATGACAATCTGGCTTGGACAGGACATGGAAGGCAGACCTACACTGGGGCAGGGATTCTTCCCACTCAGCTTCTGTTCACCCTACAAGCCAAAGGCCTAATGGGTAGGGTGATCCCAGCTGGTCAAGAAGCAGAAAGCTTGCCAGACGATGTTCACAATGGCAAACCATGTGTAGTTTTAACTGTTTGAACTCCAGCAGTAGCACACATATACTGTGGGATCTCCAAACTTTGGCTCTTGCCAACCTGCACCAAATATTTTCCCAAGTGAGGTACATAGGGTACATCTCTTCAGCTAGAACTACCCTATGTGTTACGCCTTTGGCTTGCAGGATTAACAAGAGCGGAGTAGGAAGAATCCCTGCCTCAGTGATCAGTCTGCCCCTTCACATCCTGCTGATGAGCCAGGCTGGCTGGTCCTTCATAAACACTGCCCTGAAGTACTGTGGATCCACCTGGTCTGGACTACCAAGAACGCCAACGAGGAATGACTCAATCCTGACATTCCATTGCCAGGTACGTTTTGAGAATAAAATATTTTTAAAAAGAATATTTTAGTAACAATAATGGAGGAGGAAAGAATATTCTTCCAGGTCTGTGCCACTTTAAAAGTTAAGACTCATTTGGAAGGAAGTGGGGACTCCTAATGCACAAAGATGACACTTTCACCTATCACTCTTTAGCCCTGGTGTGCAACAAGCACAAATTACAGCAACAGCAACGTATATAGTACCCTTTACACAGG